GACCCAGAGGAGTTCCTTATGAGCAGGCAAGACCATTTCATATCTATGATCAAGATTAATTGCGCTTCTTTACTTTTACTACATCTACAGTAAAATCTTTATCATCATAGATGATTCAGAGTCGGACCCAGATGAGGATGTAGACTCAGATGCTGTATCATTAAAAATTAACTTTTTTCTTTTAGCCTTACATAGTGTACTATTTTTTCGAGAAATATCTGGATTTGCTATCGAGTTTATAATTTCTTGCCAAATCTCGGGTTTTACTATCTTAAGTAATTGGCAGAGAGAAATCGAAATCATTCTACGTGATACTTGTTCAACGAATTTAGATATTATTTTCAGGGTACTATTGCCAGAGGCAACTGTTTCATAGCTATTTTTGACCATTGGATTTAAATTGATTTGTTATTAATATACGGAAAAATATAATTAAATATATTATCACATAAATAATCACAATGAAAATTTTATCTTGCAAAATTAACAAAGTACCTGTTACAGCTATATTAGATTCCGGTGCTAATTGTAATATTATAGGCAAGAGTGTAGCAAAAATAGTAGGCTTGAAAATTGATAATACATCTGGTACAGAGATATACAGTCCCATTAGCGAGCTCAATATATTGGGAATAATTCATGCAATGGAAATTTCGGTCCTGTCTCAAGATCGGAAATGGGAGCAAGTAAAAGTTACTGATGTTTTCGTTACCAATAAACCCGAACTTGAATCTGTACTGATATTGGGTCAGGCATGGTTCCAGGAAAATGCAATGAAAGTGGACTTCCTAAATAAAACTCTTACATTTCTTGATGGAACTAGTTATGAAGTTAAGTGTAATTGAGAATATCCAGAAATCCATAGTATATACTCCTAAAGTTAATTATCTAAGCATTGGTTATTTTTCGATTAAATATATACATTACTTAAGAATGACGCAACTATTATGGAGCAATGACCCAAAGGGTCTAAATATTTTTAATTTACCAGAATTACTAGAACAGATCTTATATTTTTTAGAAATCAATCAATCCCTCTATCCCGCTTTATTCGTCAACCACTTTTGGTATCACTGTGGTGCTCCTATTCTATGGTGTCGCATTGAGTTTTTTACAGAAAAAGATTATCAGAGAGGTCGGCATGGTCGTAAGATGCCTTGAGTTCTTACTTGGAAATTGATAAATTTTAAAAAAAGTCATGTGTGGAAAGATAAAGCCAATCTATTGCACCAAGATGATATATCTCAGATTGGAAGGTTTAAAAATCAAAGATGCATTGATTAGTACGATTCTATGCTCATGCCCAGATATACGCACTCT